GAAGAAGAAGAAGAAGAAGAAGAAGAAGAAGAAGAAGAAGAAGAAGAAGAAGAAGAAGAAGAAGAAGAAAAAATAAAACTCAAGAAACTTCATGCTGCATTGTCGAACAGCAGATTTCAAAATATGTGAGGCAATTGATCTGGAGTCGTGAAAATAATTCCTAATGCTGGTTTGGAATCCTATCTTGTGGAGCGATGGGAGACTCCCATCCACTTCTCTCTCCTTCATTCTCTTAATCAAAATCATCCAACTCTGATTCAAGCTAAGAGTCTGGGGTAGAATAAGGCAAACTCCAAAAGATAAAAGCATTTTCTAATATCAATTGCCAAAGCACTGCATTTATTGATTTAAAATGATCTGATCCATATTTGCACGCATGTAACAGCGATAGACAAGCTGCCTTTTAAAAACTCACGGGGGATGCTCTGTCTGAATTCTATAGAGATGATAGCTAAAACAAATCATAGAATCTTAGATCCCTTTTTTCTTTCAGCAACAATTTAGCCACCTGGGGGAAAATACCAATTAAATAAAACGGGTTGGCATTCTTTTTGGAAAGGAGATTAAATCACTGTTTCTTTCTTGCAGTGTACTGCCCCCTACTGGTATATTTGGAGAAATCAGCATGATTTCAAATGAAGCGCCCCCTAGCAAGCCATGGCATATCACCACCAAGTTCCCTTTCTCGTCTGTGCTAGCAACACATCTCTTTTTAGTTTCTCCTGTGGGGTTATGAGGGCGTCTTTTTAGAATTTATTTACTGGGCAAAGCCGTGGTGGATTCCCAGGCTGAGTTAATAGGAAGTGTCAATAGCGCTTAGCTCCTCATAAATATTAATTAGGGAAGAGGAATCTCAAGCGGCCAGTTAATTAATAAGCGATAACAAATATTGCTGTCGATCAATTATGGAGAAGGTAACCACGGAGCTCTTGTGGGTTTTATCATGCATTTTGAAGTGGTAGAAGAAAGCTGAGGGTTGGGGATTTTTTGACACCTGAGAAGGAATGTGCTGTTTATGACATGACAGGATGATAAACGGATATTACAGGTATGAGTTATATTTGGCAGGGTTGCTGCTACATCACGGAAGTTTTACTAATTAATCATAAGAGTTTTGGTAGGCCACTTAATTAATCAAAAGTGCTTATAAATACTCCAACCATTCTCCGAAGCCAAATAATAATAATAATAATAATTCTATGGCTTCTTTGGAGTTAGATGATGAATGAGCCTTATGCGAACTCCTTTAAAATGCCACAGATCATCCTTCATATGGAGAGAATTCCTCTTTTGAAGATGGCAGTCACCATCTAAACTTTTTTTTGAGTCCTTATGCTGGAATTGCTGTCTATTTTCAAAGTCTTGCTTTTTTTTAAATAATCGGTCAAACATTCAGGTACTGGAAGTTGGCATTAATATGCAGATACATTTTTCTAATTTCTTTCCGTGATTATTGGAAGCTGCCCAGAATAGTTGAGGTACAGCATACGAGTTCACAAATTATTGTGAATATATTGTGAATACAAGTGCTTATCTCGAGGGACTGTTTGAGATTAATTACCAGATGGGAATGAAAACAATTCCCAGCGTTGCAATAGAATAAGACTTGTTTTTCAAATAAACGTATGCGTAATTACGGTCTAGGAAGCCTTGGTCAGAACAAGATGCTAAAATGAGGCAAAATCTCTTTATCTTCCCCATGTCTCACCTCAGAGCTCGGCTCAGCTTGTCGTAGTTCATATGGGGCTTGCATTTACGAATACCCCATAGGCGGGCCACTTCATCTGGGTCCTTGATGACGAATTCGCCATAATCTCCTTGCCAAGCGATGACGTTCTGGTATTCTTCCTTTTGCAGGAGCTCCAGGATAAAATGCCAGAGTTGGATCTGACGGGAACCAGGACTCGACTCAGGTTTATAGGCCCAGTCAGGAAAAGCAAAACCTGCCCATGAAAAGAATAATTAACTGATTGCAGGTCACAAGTCTTAACTAGCTAATCTGACTTCATTTATATATTTTTTTAAAAAATCCTATTGTTCCATATAGAACAACTTTTCCCCCTTTTACATTTGTAGGTTCACTTGCTTTCATCTGCACAATACTCTTATAGAATATAAGGTTCAGTAGGGGAAAATATTTGTAGCTCAGGTTAAACTGTGGGGTTTCTTGTGTTCTCTTGAGTTTGGTTGTTGTTCTCTTGCAGACGTTTCATTACCCAACTAGGGAACATCATCAGTGCTAGAATAGAGTGGGGTTTGCTTTTTGTGATCAAAGCTCCCCCTTTTAAAAAAATGGGGGACAGAATAGGAGAAGAGCAGATAGAGCTGGTGGTGGTGGAGTTAAGTAAGCCATAAGCCTAGAATCCTTATGTTGCCACAAAGAAGTCCAACCTTTCTGGAACAGGAGAAGGGGAGGAGGAGAACTGTGGTGTCCTTGGTGCTGTCTGAGCTGGGTTGTCTTTTTTCCAGATGTTTCATTACCCAACTAGGTAACATCATCAGTGCTAGAAGGGAGTGGGGTTTGCTTTCTGTGTTTGTCTCTGTTTGTTCAGAGAGCAAACCCCACTCCCTTCTAGCACTGATGATGTTACCTAGTTGGGTAATGAAACTTCTGGAAGAAAACAACCAAGCTCAGAGAGCACCAAGGACCCCACAGCAGGTACATACATTTTCTTAAAAAACAAACAGACCCAACAACATATAGACAATAATTGGCATCGTGTGAAAACACTTCATGTATAAGAAGCATAGAAAAAAATGGGGAAAAAATGGGGAGGAAGAAAAAGTAGAATCATGAATTAAGACTTAGGCAGAACTCGCCCGTAGATTTCCTCCACTCACTACAATTTTGCAGCTACTTGGAACTTAAATCTCATAGAACTCTGTGGGATTTATTTCTGAAAACACCTGGATAGGATCAGATAGCTGGCTTCAGGAAAAGCAATCTGAACTGGGACACGCTGAGTGAACTAGCACAGACTCTATGCTTTCTAAGTCACAATAATGTGTGTGTGTGTGTGTGTGTGTAAGAGAGAAAGACAACATGTGCACAATCTTTGTTCTGAAATAACTTTGGTTTTCACCAGAGAATTAATTGATCTACAATCTCCCGTTCCACGTAGTTTTATTTTATTTATTTAGTTAGTTAGTTTAGTTTGTCAAGCATATGTGAGAAAACAAGTATAAGTATGAACATAACATATAAACGTATATGTTTATATAAACAGGTATAATGATGATGATGGCAGATGAGATTCTGCCGAAACGTTGCTACAACTTTAAAAGCACAACTACAATGACATGGGAAAATACCCAAACAAAGCTGAATGCCATACATGTAAGTACCCGCGAAAACTTAAGAAAACAAACAGGTATAAGTATATATATAATAAATGAGTATGAATAAAAGGGAACAGTAGGACTGGGACGGTAGACATGCTGGTGCGCTTATGCACCAGACCTCTTAGGAGTGGAGTGAGGTCCATCGTGGACAGTTTAAGGTTAAAGTTTTGGGGGTTTGAGGATGTAACAACAGAGTCAGGTAGGGAGTTCCAGGCATTGACCACTCCGTTGCCAAAGTCCTATTTTCTGCAATCGAGTTTGGAGCGGTTTACTTTGAGTTTGTATCGATTGTTTGCCCATGTGTTATTGTGGTTGAAGTTGAAGTAATCATTGACAGGTAGGACGTGGTAGCAGACAATTTTGTGTACTAAGCTTAAAACAGAATCCTCTTTTAGAGTTGTTGAATTTTCTTTTCTTTTTTTTTAAATAAGGTATTTAATAATGAATTTTTGATTTCCCTATTTACTTCTACGTTCTGCCAGTAGAACATGACTTCACCCAAGTCTTTCCAGGAAATGGGTCTATTATACAATGGTTTTCAACCTTGGCAGCTTTAAGAAGTGCTTGAGGACGTCAACGTTGCAATCTTCTTAATTCTGCAGTGGGCTTTCATAACCACCTGACCCCAGTGTTTAAACAAAGGCCTCTCTAGGGCATTGGGATAGCCAATTGGCTCACCTCCGCTTCCACCTACCATCCACATTAATCACAGCTAAAAAGCTGGCTCCAACTCAGCAGAGGACAGACCTTCAAGGCAGAAGGTACCAGATCTCTCCGGTGCAGGCGAGGTCAAGCTGGCCTCCTCCGATCTGTGCCTCTATCTAGGAACCTGTCATTAAGCGGCATAATGAACTGCTGATCGATGGCTTGATTTTTCAGTTACACCACGCACCTTTGGCCCCCCTGCAGCAAATTGCATTCACCTTCCCCAAGGCCTCTCTGTTATACATCAGGCGAATGCCATGGCTCGCCAAGAGTGAGATGGGCCTTTCTCCAGGGAGGTGTGCTTTGCTAGTTGGGAAAAAAAAAATATCTTCCTCCCCCGCTTAGGTTTTTATGCCTAGCTCAGGCATCAGAGTAGCAAAACGTAGTCACTGAACCAGTAGTAACACCAGTTGAATCCCACCCCTGGGTGGGCAGGTGGGCCTACATGATTGCCACAGTGAACCACTTCAGAAACAACTGACCTTCAGAGCGAGGGGTTCGCCCGAACCGGTCCGAACCGGCAGAATCCCACCCCATAAGTCCGGGATGTTGCAAGCACCATAAATATGAACCAGTTGTCAACCACCTGAGTGTTGATCACATGACCCTGGGGAATGCTGCGATGGTCATAAGTATGAAAAATGGTCATAAGTTATTTTTCCAGTGCTGTTGTCACTTCAGTCACTGAATGAACTGTTTGTAAGTCAAGGACTACCTGTAAGGAAGGATGACACATGGAAAGGATGGAAGGCAGACACTCACATACACCCAACAGGAGGGTCCAGAAATGTTGAGATGTTGAAAAAGTCTTGATGGATCTAAGGCTGAAGCCCCTTGGAGTATTCCTACAACCATCAATCAACCTATTGGCCTCAGTTCAGTTCTGAAAGACACATCAATGCTTCCCTTCTTCCTTGGTCCCTAAAAGTCCACAGAACTGGTAGTAAAAAATTTTGAATTTCATCATTGGCACTAACCTATTTTAATCAGCCCAATTACTGAAAATGAGAAGTAGCTATAACAATCCTGCAGCCATTGTTACCTCATATTTCCATTTTTTTTAAAAAAAATGGCCCACAGTCCAGTTTTATTTTTAAATCAAAGTTGGCATCTCATGGAAAGGCCAGGAAACAAATATTCAATAAAGAGGTTAAAGCTTAAGGTTTCGCCTTAACACACATATACAGCAATAACATGAAGGATTTTTTTAGGATAGACAAAGAAAATTTTTATGTTCATGAATAACATAAAAAAACTGATTAGATCTCTCATATATCCTAACAAAATGGGCCAGGTACATTTTGATTTCAGAACTTTCTTGTGAGGAATATTTGCAATAAAAACAAGCAACTGTGACTTTTCTAATAAAACCTTATGTGGAGACAGCCATAAAGTTCTCCAGACATGCTATTGCTACCTGCCCTGGAGATCGTATTTTTATCTATTTATTTCTTAAATCTCCACAAAAAAAACACTACAGGTAGTCTCGAATTACGACACAACCGAGCCCCAAATTTTTGCTGCTGAGTGAAATATATATTAAGTATATTTCAACCCCTTTTACGATTTTTTTTTGAGCCACTGTTGTTAATCACTGCAGTTGTTAAGTTAGAAACGTGGTTTGTTAAGTGAATCTGGCTTCCTCGTTGACTTTGTTTGTCAGAAGGTCGCAAAAGGGGATCACGACCTCCCGGGGACACAGCAACCATGATAAATACAAGTCAGTTGCCAAGCATCTGAATTTTGATCACGTGATTATGGGGGATACTGCAACGGTTGTGTGAAAAATGGTCATAAGTCATTTTTTTCCAGTGCCGTTGTAACTTTGAACCATCACTAAAGGAACTGTTGTAAGTCAAGGACTACCTACTATGTAACAACCACAATTCTCTGCTTCATTTATTTATTAGCATAATCTAGAAGATCTCAGAGATCCAACTCTGTTATTCTGTCATTCTAACCCCTAAACCAGCCTTCTTGAAGTCCAGCGAATAGATCTGCACCAATATTCCAAATCTAGCAATAGCGTTGCATAAAAATGTGGTGATATCAGCTGTTTTATTTTGGGCTTCTTTCCTCATGGTCCCCGAGGAGGGAAATCCACTTTTTCTACAGCTGCTGCAGGATGTGTAAATGGTTTAATTAAGCCCTGACTTGTTCGTCCTTCCATTTCCCATCAACCCACTCCTGAAATTTGGATTTTTTTTGCCTCAACACAAATCAAGTCTACAATAGTATATAGCCCAACCCTGGAATCTTTATCAATATGTCCATTAATTTTCTTGGCAACTGCACTAAAGAGGTAATCTTTGACTTACACCTGTCCCTGTGGCCCCCATGGTCAAAATTCGGATGCTAACTTAAAGAGGCTGTGCATTAAAATACATTTTTGAATGGGAATTCTGGCAATTGAATTTCCCACATCCATGCTCAGGCTGAGAAACCATGCTCTACCCTATTCATCACACTTGATTTTATTTAGTAAGTTTTGTCTTAATTAACCGTTAAATATCTAGATCCTTTGGTTGTAACAAGAACTAATTTGTTCTCTGCCTTTTTTAAAAAAAAATGCACAAATTGCCTTGAGTTAGTTAAAACCAAAGAGGCCTTGATTTTAAATTTATGTCAAGTAATCCACTTTTGCAAATCAAGCAGGAAGCAAAACCAATAAGGTCATCTTCAACGTACGACCCCAAATGAGCCCCAGTTTTCTATTGCCACGCAAGACAGCTGTTAAGCGAGTTTTGCCCCATTTTGTCACCTTCCTTGTTATTAAGTAAATCACTGCAGTTAATTTAGTAACGCGGTTGTTAAGTGAATCTGGCTTCCCCCATTGACTTTGCTTGTCAGAAGGACGCAAAAAGGGATCACGTGATCCCGGGACACTGCAACCGTCATAAGTGTGAGTCAGTTGCCAAATGCCTGAATTTTAATCACGTGACCACGGGGATGCTGCAATAGTCGTAAGGGTGAAAAACGACTGTATTTCACTTTTTCCAGTGCCACTGAAACTTTGAACGGTCACTAAAAAGAACCGTTGCAAATTGAGGACTAACTGTATGCCCCGTGAAGAGCAGAGCAGATGCTTCAAGGTAACACAGCGAGCAGGTACAAGCACTTATGCATCAACTGAGATTTCCCATTTGCAAAGGAGAACCAGGAATATTCAAATAGTCCTCAAGTTATGACCACAAATGGGACGAGAATTTCTCTTGCTAAGCCGGCTGGTGATTAAGCGACTGATTTTAAAATTCTTTTTGTCCCAGTTTTGATGTCAGCTTTGGAAGCCATATTGAGACTAGATGCTCCCACGCTGCCACATCTGAGCCTGGGAGAGTGGAAGGAGGGAATATACTGGAGTATGTTTAGGTAGGCATAATAGCATTCTTTTTCTGATTCAAGGTCAGGTTGTGTTGCGCATGTGAGAGGACGGATGGGGACAGATGGTGATTGGGTGATGGGTGCATGTGATGTGATAATGGGTGCAGGGGATGCATTTTATAGTTTTTACTTATTGCAAGGAAGCCTGCAACTTTCAGATTCGAGATTCCACGGTTGTGCCAGTTACTATCCAAACAAAAGGAACTTTTGAGAGATGTCTGTCTCAGAGTTATCGAGTGGAATGGAGGTTTGCTGGAATGCTGACATTTGAAGAGTATTGCTGCTGTTGTTAAGTGACTCACACAATTGTTAAATGAATCCACCTTTACCCACCCATTGATTTTGCTTGTTGGAAGCCAGTTGGGAAAGTCACAAATGGCGTTCACAGAATGCTGGCATGCCGCAACCATTATAAATACACGCTGGTTGTTCAGGCGCACAAATCTTAATCACACAACTGTGGGAATGTGGCCTGGGATGGTTGCAAAAGTGCAAGGATTGGACTTAAGTCACTTTTTTCAGGGCTGTTGTAACTTTTACAGTAGTGTCACAAACTACCCAGAATGACTCTAGAAATGCATGAACACAGAGAAGGACGTTGTTTTCATTCTGATTCTAGAATACTAAATACCGTGACAAGGAGAGTCTGGGAAGGAGGGGTTGAAAAAAAGTCAAGATGGCAGTCAAAATTATGTAATCAAAGCCCCCCCTTTTTTTTACATGGGGGACAGTGCAGGAGAAGAGCAGTAGAACTGAGGGTGGAGTTTAGTAAGTCATTAGCCTAGAATCTTTATGTTGTCACAAACAAGTCCAACCTCTCCCGAATTCCGCTGCCCCTTATCTGGTGCCAATTTAGTACTTAGTTGACTGTGGAAAGGCTTGTGTGATAACTCTTGCGAACTGCAATTTAACACCCAACAGGCAGGGCTTCCATGCCATGGTTGCGGCTGCCATTTTGATTCTCTCAACCTCCCCTTAGCAGGCATCCTCGGCCCCAAGGAAACCAAGTTGAACCCCGTTCTCCCTTCCTACTTCAACGCGATCAGCCTTTGTGAAGGGAGGGGGGGGAAAAAAGAAAAGAAGATTGAAGCAGCTGGCTAATGAAACATGCAGGATTCACTCCTCAGAGGCCGAGCAAGGGAAAGGCAGCCTCAGGTTAAAAACATTTCCCTTTGATTGTCGCAATTGCCCCCAGCTTTCAGCTTGGAGCTATCAACTTCACAGCTATCTAGATTCCTGGGGGAGCCACCGCTCGGAGGGAAAGGGTGCAATTAATAGCTGTTTGGATGGAACGAGGGGGTGGGAATTGTTTGTCTATTGCAAACTGGCAGAAGGCAAGGGCACAATCAGCCGTGACAATTTCTCGGCATGTCCCTGGGTTGTGATCTGAACAGCAGTTGGTTCTCTTGTCAGCATTAGGATGGGCTTGCCAATTTTATTTATTTATTTTTATTTATTTATTGGCGATAGAGCTGGAATCTTCCCTGCAGTTTTCTATTTGCTAAAATGTTCCCAGATGGCTAAAATATTTTGTTAAAGAGCCACTAGATATTTGACTTCAAGCCCGAGAAGCAAAGCAGGGCAGAGAAACATTTTAAAGAAATAATTCTCAGCAGCCAGTATCCATTCAACAGCCAGCTGGGCACCAAATTTGTATTTTTTTCCCCTCCTTCATCCCAATCAACTTTTTAAAATGTCACCATCACTGAGTTTCCTCCAATATGGGAAAGATTATGCTCTCAGTACGATGCCAATGATACTTTCCCCTTTGAAAACTTATTTCCCCCCCCCATGCTTACTAAAATCATAATATTTTAGATAATTTGGGGAAAGGGATGGCTTTATTTTGCTGCATGAGAAAAGTAAGTGATGCTTTTTCTGAGTGCGTCTGCTTACTTGCTCTTATTAATTACATTGGTTTAATTGCTACCTTTGTCTGGAAATGCTTTAATTTTGGTGAAGAAAAGTGAGGCCTGTCTTTTAAATCACTAAATCAGTAAATAAAAAGTGCAGGATGGGATTTCGGTTTAGTTATATACTTAGTTATACAAACTGGAGGAAAACAACATGACTGAATGCAACAGTATTTTATATTTGATGTTTTAAAATACTGATGTGCAAAAGGAGTAACATTTGAAGAGTTGGCATTGTGGGTTTGGGTGTTAGGGAGAAAACTGATAGCTGGCCTGGTTTCATATTTCCTTCTTAAAAATATTAAGAAATGCCAAGTGTTCAAAAGCACGTGTGTTCGCATGTATGAATATATGATAAAATAGAGTATATATGTGTGTGTGTGTGTGTGATAATTCTTTTTAATATTCAAACCTGAAATCTCAAAACACAATTTTTCATTCTCAATTTCATGGTGGCAATTTAAAAAAGAACTTGGCCGTTATCCAAGGTTACCTTTTGGTTGCATTATTATTAATGACATTATTTCATCTGGTTTAACACTATACTAGATAGTGCATCAATGCACCAGATCTGGTAAGTTTTCTGGGTCTGTGGGAGGTTCAGGCAACAGGTACAACCAAATCACCTAAAACTCCTGCTGCTACATTCTTACAACATGCTAGACTTGGTTAGCTTGAAACCTGGAATGTTGGTTTCTTTGGGGAGGACAGTGACTTAGCAATGTAGTGTTAATATATGATCCCACCACTGGTCGTAACTGTGAAAAATGGTCATAAGTCACTTTTTTCAGTGCTGTTGTAACATTGAACAGTCACTAAATGAACTGTTGTAAGTCGAGGTCTACCTGTATCTCAATAGGACAGTTGTTTTAATTGCAGACATGCCTTCCCTTAAACCAACACCATTATCACCCTCTTTTAATGACCCCTTAATCCCTTGGGGGTGGAGTCTGGGCAACTGAATGGAGCCGAGTGTTTACCGGCCGGATGCCTTTCCTGTCACCAATGCGGAGTTTTGTTCAGCAGGTATATCTCAAAGAGTCCCAGAGAGAGAGAGAGATCTGCCTCAAATTAGGATTGAACTCACAACCTCCTGATTGTGAGGTGACCTTAAACCAACACTACGATTGGGTTTATATGTAACAGTCACTAAACGTTGTAAGTTGAGCACTACCTGTATTTAGGATGGCGGTATACCTGGGTTCAGGCCGCATGCTTAGCCAAATGGAGTTGCCCTTGCCAAACATTCTTAACTAGGGTTACTTTGAACCATGTTAGCTTTTAAGAGCCATGGTGTCAACTCAAAAATATTTCTCTGGTCTTTTAGAGTTGCCAGCAGAAAGGCAGTGGGGGACGTAGTGCATTCCTTAAATGCTTCATAGATAATTGCTAGGCGGCCGAAGCTTCTGGCGCGAAAGATTATTACTGGAGAGCATGACTGATGACTCTTGGCTATGGATGCATCCCATTGGAGAATATACATCCAGGGGGTGGGAGGAAGACCAGGGTCAAAGGGGAAATGAAGGATGTATTTTAATGTCAGCTGCATCCAGGTCACGCCGACACGGTCACTCCGAATAAATGATTTTTTAAAAACTCTTGAGAGATGCGGCTAGAGACTTATGATTTGAATGGGGGCGTGGATTGTCAGAGCCCTGACACATGGATTAGCAATTTGTGAACCCAAGCCTTTTGGTTACTGGTTGAGGGTCTTATGCTGGCCCAGTTTAGAAGTCCATTCAGTATACAGGTTCAGCAGGCTGCATGAAGACAGCCAGGCTGTGTTGGAGGCCTAGCATTCATCCCCAAAGGCAGTTTCCTAACCCGCTGGTAAGCTAGGCACAGTTAGAGGCCAAGGGGCTCCAACACCCAGGTGCAGTGGTGTAGTAACCATTAAGCAGACTAAGCACCAGGCCCAAAGGGGGCACCACAAAGTTGAGAAGATGGCTTCGTTTGTACAGTAGAGGGGCACCAAGATTTGTCAGTGCTTAGGGCACCAGTGAACCTTAATCCGCCACTGCCCAGGTGATTCCGGGGATCCAGCACCCACTACCCACGGCTGAGTCCTTGGCTCCCGGATTAACCCCCAGCGCGCAGGGCCTGGGAAGCCCAGCCCCCCCCTCCCCCGCTTCGGTCGTAAATCTCCAGCCCGAGGGTCCGGATTACCTGGTGTCCAGAGAGCCGGCACAGGAGAGGTGAGGAGCAGGTCGGAGACGCAGTTACAATCCATAGCGAGGGAGGCTTCTATCTGCAGGGAGGTGGGGGGGGGGGGGGGAAGAAGACAGGAGAGAGAGAGAGAGAAAGCGCAGTGAGGAAGGGGGTCTCCGGCGCGATTTTACACAAGAAAAAAGGAGAGGAAAAAGCACCGTGACTCTCACCCCTCTCCCCGACCTACTTGGGATGGGCGCGAAAGAGAGAAGGCGCTGCGGATTTCGGGGGGGGGGGGGGGGCCCGGGTCTCATCCCCCCCCCCCCCCCCCACTGGCAGGGAAGGGAGTCTCCGGGAGATGGCGGAGTTGGCGAGGGGAGGGAGGGAGGGGAGAACCCCAACCGGAGCTTCAATCCTGGTCCGGCGGAGTTGGACCCGACGTTTCCACGCAAGAAAAAAAGAAGAAGAAGAAGTCCCGCCGCGCAATCTTTGGTGGGGGGGGGGGGGGGGGGGGGGGGGGGGGGGGGCAAAACACAGACAAAAAACGCAAAAATCACCTGTGCTGTTTTTTGCTTCTGGTTTCTGTTTTGGGGGGGAGGGAGGGAGGGGGGGGCTGCTGTTGGCCGTCCCCACTTCCTGACCCGGGTAAAAGACACCCCCCCCCCCAAGACAGGACTCGTCAGGGCCCGCCGAGCGTAACTCGTTTTTGGAAATCATCTTACTTAAAAAAAACGTGGGAAACGCGGCGCTTTCAACCCGCGTTTGCCCCTGTCCGGGGGGGGGGGTGGAAGAATCCCGCTCAAATCTCAGTTGCGCTCTTTTGGAAGCGCCTATCGAAGTGGCTCCTAAATTAATCCAGCGGCTGCCAGGTTAGCTGCGTTTGGGTCTATAATTCAAAGGAAACTCGTATCTGTCGCGAGTCAGCATTGGGGAACTCCGTGTGGGTATAGATGGGCGAAAGCTTGTAAGTGTAACTTTAAAAAAGTGCGTACACGCTTAAAGCCAGGATATCCCCAAAGTGCTTTTTTTTTTCCAAG